AATTTATTATACGTTAAAAATACTATATGGCTCTCAATGAAATATATTGAGAAATATTTGGCTTTTATGGCTCTCCCAGTCAAAAAGGTTCCCGACCCCTGCTATAGGGGGTGGGGGGGTGACATTTTCACGGTGAACGTATGAAGGGTTTGGGCAGGATGAACGTTTACTTAGGCACCGAAGCATATCGTGAAGAGGTTGGCAGGAGAGAATGTCCTCCATAGGTCTCCGTCTAATGTCAGTGTTGCTTAAGACCCATGTGTAGTAGCTACGGGCCCCGCACTTTCAAGGGCCCCGCGCTAAATGCTTCCAAGCTATCAATTCCGGTTCGGTGATTCTGCACTTGCTCTATTACTATAGTACTATACCACCTTTCAAATTTTATGAACGACTGAGTATTGAAGGTTAGCGATGTGCTTATTATCTGGCCGTATAGCAAATGAAAAAAGAAAATTACCTTACTATACAAGTAAAAAAATGTGTGTTTTAATGTTTGTGTATTTTTTATTTAGGGCCCCTTTATAACATTTGCTACAGGCCCCGCACTGCCCCCTTCCCGCGTCGAGGATGAGCCGTAGATAAACCCACGGCTCGCCACGAGATGGCGGTGCAGCGTGGAAACACGCCGGACTACATCCTGAGTGTGAGTCTATGGGTCTCTGTGTGAGTCTATGGGTCTCTGTGTGAGTCTGTGGGTCTCTGTGTGAGTCTGTGGGTCTCTGTGTGAGTCTATGGGTCTCTGTGTGAGTCTATGGATCTCTGTGTAAGTCTATGGGTCTATGTGTGAGTCTATGGGTCTCTGTGTGAGTCTATGGATCTCTGTGTAAGTCTATGGGTCTCTGTGTGAGTCTCTGGGTCTCTGTGTGAGTCTATGGGTCTCTGTGAGTCTGGATCTCTGTGTGAGTCTATGGGTCTCTGTGTGAGTCTATGGGTCTCTGTGTGAGTCTATGGGTCTCTGTGTGAGTTTATGGGTCTCTGTGTGAGTCTATGGGTATCTGTGTGAGTCTGGATCTCTGTGTGAGTCTGTGGGTCTCTGTGTGAGTCTGGATCTCTGTGTGAGTCTATGGGTCTCTGTGTGAGTCTATGGGTCTCTGTGAGTCTATGGGCCCTCTGTGTGAGTCTATGGGTCTCTGTGTGAGTCTATGGGTCTCTGTGTGAGTCTATGGGTCTCTGTGTGAGTCTATGGGTCTCTGTAAGTCTAAGGGTCTCTGTGTGAGTCTATGGGTCTCTGTGTGAGTCTATGGGTCTCTGTGTGAGTCTATGGGTCTCTGTAAGTCTATGGGTCTCTGTAAGTCTATGGGTCTCTGTGTGAGTCTATGGGTCTCTGTGTGAGTCTATGGGTCTCTGTGTGAGTCTATGGGTCTCTGTGTGAGTCTATGGGTCTCCGTGTAAGTCTGGATCTCTGTGAGTCTATGGGTCTCTGTGTGAGTCTATGGGTCTCTGTGTGAGTCTGTGGGTCTCCATGTGAGTCTATGGGTCTCTGTGTGAGTCTGGATTTCTGTGAGTCTACGGGTCTCTGTGTGAGTTTATGGGTCTCTGTGTGAGTCTATGGTCCTCTCTGTGAGTCTATGTATGTTGAACTTCTTTCGCACCGTACGTAGCCAACCGTGCTAATCGGAGGCCTGTGGCTCATCACGCATATTTAGTCGCCCTCTCTCAAAGTGTGCTAAGCGGCGCCTTACAAACCGACATGAACAAACCCGTCAACCCATCACGATTTACCCCTTATTCTTTCTTGTTCAGGGAAATTGAGTTTTCAAGTCCATACGGCGTAAAGCCGTTTCAATACGGGCACAAGTAAAATGTTTTTAAATCCTTTATATTAAGTTCGCTTGCTTGCTTGCTTGCGTGCTTGCTTGCTTACGACCGTGCAAACCTTTCGGTCGTTTTTTAACCCACTTCCCGTGATCCAATCGAGCTGACATTTTGCACACAGACTCGTTGTGCGAGACAATTAATGTTCGTGAAAAAAAAATCCAAAATTTTACACTGTTTAGGGAAAACAAATTAAATATTTAATTACCAATTGTTTAATACTGCAGACAATCATCTGACCCATAGGTGGCAGCCATCTCAAGCCAGAGGACGAGAGGACTCTAGCCGCCACGCATATAAAGGATTTATAGTGAAAAACTTTGTTTTTACGGGTTAATTTTTTTGTCTATTTGTTTGTGTTTCGATTTAAAGCTTTCGTGACTGCAGGGATTCATCTTCTTGGTTCTTTCGGTAAAGTCACGTACCGAAAGAACCAAGAAGTTGTTTGTGTTTCTTCCTCGTGGTGGGACTTTGAGATGTATAAGGGAGATTAATTCTAGATTTGAAGCTTTCGTGACTGGAAGGATTCATATTCTTAGTTTTTTTCGGTAAAGTCACGTAGGTAAAACATTATTTTTTAAACATTATTTTTTACCTACGTAACTTTACCGAAAAAACCTAAGAATATGTATAAGGGGCACTGGGTGACCGATAATGTCTGAATTGGTCTGTAATAAGTGTGGCATTCGTTGTGTTGGTGTCAGATGGCCACGTTGAGATTTGAAGTTCAAATCGGGACAGCGCGAGAGAGTAGCTTCATGTTCTCTCTCTCTGCTTAGACATGTTCTTGCTAATTTGTCACTCTTAATAACGGTATAGGACCGTCCATAAATGACGTCACGCGATTTTGGACGATTTTTGACCCCCCCCCCCCCCTCAAATATGACGTCACAAAGCTATGCCCCCCCCCCAAAAAAATAAAACATGCTTCAAATCGCTTTAAACTATTGTCATTGTAGTGCGTGTTTAATGTGGCGCTGCACTCTGATGTTGTAGGAGAAAACATTTGTTAAAAAGTCTATTTAATTAAGTAGAACGTGTCGTCTATATTTATTTAAAGTTGCGCATTTTGATGTGACGTCACATTTCTCAAACCCCCCCCTCGTCACACATCGTCACGAATGTCTGACCCCCCCCCCCCTACGTGCGTGACGTCATTTATGGACGGCCCCAAAAGGCGTTGCTATCACGAACGGTCCTCCGATGCAACAATGCACCTTGCACCTTCCCAAATGTTAATTTGTATAAGAAAAAAAAATATTAAAAATAATCAATGACAACTTAAACAGAGAGAAAACCTCTCATCTGGCATTATTGACCTCGAAATACAAAAACGCTGCAACGACGAAACGTGAAGACACGTGACACATTGGCCGTGCAAAGTGGCTGCAGCCACGTGCTCTGATTTTCAGACAAGGCAATGAGACCGAAGCTGTGGCCCACGTCCCCGTGAGAGTTGGATATTTGCAAGGCACCGATAGCTTTGTTTTCAGACAGATGTAATTAAACAAGCCGTGGCCCGAGTTTAGCATTGCAAACCACGTTGGCCTGAATTTCAAATATACAGTATTCAATGGGACCGAAGCTGTGGCCCACGTCCCCGTTGATTGTTGTTTACCAGTGCAAAGCCACGTGCCGTGATTTTTAAAGCTACGCTTTGTAAGACCGCAGCTGTGGCCCACATCCCTTGTGAGAAGAATTGAGCGGTGCAAGCCACGTGCCACGACTTTCAAAGCCACCGCTTTGTGAGACCGAAGCTGTGGCCCACGTCCCTCGTGAGAATTACTGTACTGAGGCGGTGCAAACCACGTGCCACGATTTTCAAAGCCACCGCTTTGTGAGACCGAAGCTGTGGCCCACGTCCCTCGTGAGAATTACTGTACTGAGGCGGTGCAAGCCACGTGCCACGATTTTCAAAGCCACCGCTTTGTGAGACCGAAGCTGTGGCCCACGTCCCTCGTGAGAATTACTGTACTGAGCGGGTGCAAGCCACGTGCCACGATTTTCAAAGCCACCGCTTTGTGAGACCGAAGCTGTGGCCCACGTCCCTCGTGAGAATTACTGTACTGAGGCGGTGCAAACCACGTGCCACGATTTTCAAAGCCACCGCTTAGTGAGACCGAAGCTGTGGCCCACGTCCCTCGTGAGAATTACTGTACTGAGGCGGTGCAAGCCACATGCCACGATTTTCAAAGCCACCGCTTTGTGAGACCGAAGCTGTGGCCCACGTTCCTCGTGAGAATTACTGTACTGAGGCGGTGCAAGCCACGTGCTACGATTTTCAAAGCCACCACTTTGTGAGACCGAAGCTGTGGCCCACGTCGCTCGTGAGAATTACTGTACTGAGGCGGTGCAAGCCACGTGCCACGATTTTCAAAGCCACCGCTTTGTGAGACCGAAGCTGTGGCCCACGTCCCTCGTGAGAAGAATTGAGCGGTGCAAGCCACGTGTCACGATTTTCAAAGCCACCGCTTTGTGAGACCGAAGCTGTGGCCCACCTCCCTCGTGAGAATAATTGAACGGTGCAAGCCACGTGCCCCGATTTCAAAGCCACCGCTTTGTGAGACCGAAGCTGTGGCCCACGTCCATCGTGAGAATTACTGTATTGAGCTGTACAAGCCACGTGCCACGATTTTCAAAGCCACTGCTTTGTGAGACCGAAGCTGTGGCCCACGTCCCTCGTGAGAATTACTGTACTGAGGCGGTGCAAGCCACGTGCCACGATTTTCAATGCCACCGCTTTGTGAGACCGAAGCTGTGGCCCACGTCCCTCGTGAGAATTACTGTACTGAGGCGGTGCAAACCACGTGCCACGATTTTCAAAGCCACCGCTTTGTGAGACCGAAGCTATGGCCCACGTCCCTCGTGAGAAGAATTGAGCGGTGCAAGCCACGTGCCACGATTTTCAAAGCCACCGCTTTGTGAGACCGAAGCTGTGGCCCACGTCCCTCGTGAGAATTACTGTACTGAGGCGGGTGCAAGCCAAGCGTCGCGATTTTCAAATAACCCCTGCCGGCTTTTACCGAGAGACGAACCCCGAAGCCGTGGCCCACCTCCGCCTCTTCAGAATCCCTACACCGCACAGGCGGCCGGCGGAGTGCGTCGCTCGCTTCCCATTGGTCGAGCGGCGCGGGTAGCCCTCGCCCCAAGCGCTGTAGGAAATCAAATCGAACGCCGAAGCCACGCCCACTTCCGCCGACGTAGGCGGTCCGTGTCCGCCATGTCCCCGTCTCTGTTGTAAACACAGCTCCGTGCTGAGGCGGTCGTCTCTGCGTTCTTATTCTTTCTTCTTCTTCCCCCACCGCCTGTCTCCTTCGTTGATCGCGGTGGCTCCCCAACCACCCGACCCATCAGTCCTCAGACCAACATCACGGCTACGAAGGATAACAGGCGACAAACGTCGACTGCCCAGGACTCGTCTCGCTCCCCCGTCATCTCATCTTGACGTGAGGGACACAAGTTTTTTGTTGTGCGTCTCACCAACACACACACACACCCGTCGTGTTGCTGTCAGCGATCTTTCGAAGTGCACCTAGCCTGGCACGAACGCGGCGTTGGCGAATGGTGGTGCTGGTTCCCGCTGTGTGGGCCCGGTGCTGATTCTGCGCGGCCGTCTGGAACGCTCTCGCGGTGTTAGGAAGGCCAACGCGCACTTTTAAAGTCATCTCGGTTGAAAAGTATTTTTTTTAACTGCTTTTGTTGTGTTATACATGTTATACATTCTTGGTTCTTTCGGTAAAGTCACGTAGATAGAACAACTAATTTTTGACATAAAACTTTCGTGACTGCAGGGATTCATGTCCCTTGGTTCTTTCCGGGAAAGTCACGTGGATAGAAAAGAAACGGGAAAAATAATAAAAATTTAAATGAAACATACTTGGTTCTTTCGGTGAAGTCACGTAGATAAAAAAATTAATTAATACAATAAAATAAAAAAGAATAAAATAAAATTGCAAGTACATTTTTTTATTGAATTTTATTATTTTGTATAAAATAATAAAATAACATTTTAATAACATTTCACTTTTTTATTTATTTAAATTTCTATCTACGTGACTTTACCGAAAGAACCAAGAATGTGTTTAGTTTGTTGACCCCCTCCCGTCAAGCAACCTTGATTATAGCACGGTTGGCTACGTACGGTGCGAAAGAAGTTCATACATATATCTTGCCAATCCACGCAGTCAGTTATAACCTATAACACCTGTGTTTGCCTGCCTTTGTCAGCGGGTCCTGCTTTGACACTTAACGCGATGGCCTCAAGGTGTACCTTGGCTGGCACAAGTGCTCAGGGAACGTGACACTCGCATTGTGGCGAATGGTGGCTTTTGTGTCTGTGTGTGTCATTCTCAGAATGTGGATCTCAAGGCTCTTTATACATTCCGCCGCTTGACTTTGGAATTCCTTCCAATCGTCTCACTTTCCCTCAGTTCTTATAAAAAAATATATATATAGCGTTGCTCAATTCAATACAAAAAACCTGCTACCTCTTACGTATTATAACTTCGTTAGCGCTGTTTGTTTATGTCCCGTTCGGTGTTGTTGTGCTTGTGATTATATCCTGTACTATACTACACTATGCGGTATTCAGAAACATGTTTTGCTGGCTGGCTTCCTGGCTGGCTGGCTGAATTCCTGGCTGGTTGGCTTCCTTTCTGGCTGGCTGGTTTCCTGGCTGGCTTCCTGGCTGACTTACTGGCTGACTTACTGGCTGACTTACTGGCTGGCTTCCTGGCTGGCTTCCTGGCTGGCTTCCTGGCTGACTTACTGGCTGGCTTCCTGGCTGGCTTCCTGGCTGGTTTCCTGGCTGGCTTCCTGGCTGGTTTCCTGGCTGGCTTCCTGGCTGGTTTCCTGGCTGGTTTCCTGGCTGGCTTCCTGGCTGACTGGCTTCCTCACGCACCCATCTCCGGCCGTGTATCCCACGCAAATGCGCGGGATCCGCTATCGTACTCAGAAATCAGTTTAATACGTAAGGTTTCGCGACCAATATTATTCATAATAAAGGTTTTTGGGTTAGATCGCGTAAGTATAAATGTGTCGTAACCCTCCACAACCCAATACAGCCAGTAAGGTTTGTCACGTAAACAATGCACCAATTAGTTACTACAGCTGAAGTAGTAACTCGTTTTGTAAATGTTATGGATTTACTCTCCAACACACCGGTGGGCTCAAGTAGTAACTAATTGGCGCGTTGAATACGTGACAAACCTTACTGGCTGTGTCGGGTTGTGGAGGGTTACGACACATTTATACTTTGACCATCTAACCCAAAAACTTTTATTATGAATAGTAAGAAATCTTTATACTGGAGGAGGAATCCTATGAGCTGTAAAGGTCTTTTTCCATAGATGTCCAGCCAGGGCGGGTCAGAATATTAACAACAACAACAACAAACAATACAAAAATACGATGGGAGTGAAAAGTATAGGAAAGGTAAACAATTCACTCTTAAAAATATAAACAAATAAACATAACTTTTTTTTATCTTTCTAGATTAAACCCACCGAGTCATTAGCTTATTTTTCAGAAGCGACCTGGCCACAAATTGACAGCTCAACTAAGCGGCGTATCGTGTGGAAATTAACAGCAGCAAAATAATCTAAATAATCTATACTATATACATTACAATGCTATATTAGACAAAAGTTTGGCTGGCTGGCTGGTTGACTGGACAGACGGTCACGTCCCAAGGACGTGCGGGCTGCCGTGTGACATGGTATTCAACTACGTCTCTTATCTTGAAGGATGATGATCCTGTGCGCATCTTATTGATTAAAAACGTCCCAAAAGTTTTGACCTGGCGCTTTTGTTGTGGAGCTCTGGGGACGTCACCGCGGTTTTACCTCCGCGTGGTTTAATGCGTAAGTCGCATACAGCCCCTTTTGAAAAATCCAAACTGTACTTCACCACGTAGTTCGGTGCGGGTTGGGAATGATGGGGGGCATTCATGTCGGAGTGGAGTACAACAACAGCGGTTTTGCTGCACTGCCTTCATGTCCACAATGTATTCCTCTGGCAGCCTATCAGAATATTTATTGACACTGTAGGAATCCGATGAGCTATGAAGCTATTTTTTTTGCAGATGGCCGGTTGTGCAAGGTGGTCACCCCCACCCACTTTCCAGGCTCTCACTGCTGTTTAGCTTCCAAGATTTGATGAGATCGGTACCATTCCAGGTGATTTGGGCAATATAGGCTGACTTACTTTGTTGATTTTCACTTCTTAAGGGGTTGTTGATACTCGGTGTCAGCTGATTGGAAACTGTCACTGTCAAAGCAGAACTGTTTACATGCAAACTTCCTATTTTACGGTGTTTTCCCAGTACGTCATACAGTAATGTAGGGTTTGTCGGCTAGCAATCGGACTCTATCCCTCTTTCATCTATGAATTACCGTTATCATTATGATGCCAGTTATGGGACACTAAATTTAAGTATCAAATTGCTTTGCTATTTGTGATATTCTCTTTGATAAACTGGCCGATTTGATCAAAAGTGTTCCTAAAAACTTGGACGCAACAGAGAGCCACAAAGGACAATTAGCAAACAGGCTACACATGGGTTTCTGTTTGCTTGCGTACTGCTATTACAAAGACGAATCCATGTTGGAAAATATTAACATAAACCATGCATATTCATGATTGTTCTTCCTCGTTTAATTGTCCTGTGCATCGACTCAAATTCCTGTTTGATGTTTTGCCCGCGCAATGACTAGATTGCCGGATATACCGTCAAGATAAATAACTTTGACCGTGGCGATGATGAATTTTCATTTACCCTAATTCTGTGTGGCACCATTTGCATCTCGTGAATGTGCGGGAAATGCCCGCGTGGCCGCGTGTCTTCTGTACTCCTGTTCTATTGACAGAAAGAGTAAAAACATTTCTTATTTTTTCATACTTTGATACTGCCAAAACGGTCCAATTTTGTAGCTGCTCACCTCGAGCTATAAATGCTCTGAGAGTGGCATTGTCTTTGTGCTGATCGCCTTTTTGCGTTCTTTGGTCTGACACTGGTGAGACTGGGCCCTTAAAGAAGGCTGTCTGATGTAGGTCAATCAGTTTCCAAGACATTGCGTCACATTATCAGAGCCACGTGTTTGTTTATATGTTCACCACAAGCACTGCATGTGGTTAATGCAGAATTGATTCCTTGCAAAAGGTTTCTCTATGATATTTGAACATCTTAACAACCTGTTTTATTTCCAGAAAGGGTACAACCTATTATTTTTTCATCCTTTGTGTTGTATTCTTGGGTCTTTCGGTAAAGTCACGTTGATAGTCAACGTTTTTGGGTTTAGATCGCGTTATTTATAAATGTGTCGTAACCCTCCACCACCCGACACGGCCAATCAGTAAAAAAGTGTCACGTTGACAAAAGACAAAATAGTTCACTGCTTTAGCCCACCGGTGTGTTGAAGCGTGAAACTACAACATTTACAATTTGAGTATGACGTTTCGCTGGTAATTGCATCCAGCATCATCGGGCAATTCGCCAGAATTGATTGGCCGTGTCGGGTGGTGGAGCGTTACGACACATTTAAAAATAACGCGATCTAAACCCAAAAACGTTGATTATGAATAATATTGGTCGCGAAAGCCTACGTGTTAAACTCACGTTGATAGGTTCAAAGAAAAAAGAACAAAAAACTACGACGTTTCGATCGCAACACAAGCGGTCGTCTTCATTGTCCATTCACACCGGTGGCCAACACTCACTTTCACTCTACTTCCTTCATGGTTGTTTTTCTTCTCAAATATTCATTGTACACACGCGTGTCGAGCCCTTTGGTCAAATCGCTGCTGGATGAGGGCCTCTTTACACTGTGCAGGTGATGGGGGTTATTTGACTATGCTTCCCAAGCTGCTCAGCGCGGGTTTGGTGAAGGTGGCTTCGGTATACACAGAAGCATTGAAGTGCATTACGACGGTGGATATTGCTGGATTGTTGTTTCTGCTTACAACGTAAGCCCCACAGCAGCCTACAAGACCTGTTTTATGCCATGGTGGTCATCCGTCTGAGGACTCTTTTGTATCGGCTTAAGGGCCACTGAGATTTGTCTCATTCCAGGTGATCTCTACGTAGACTTTATTCATGGAAATGTATTTTTAAATCCTTTATATTAAGTTCACTTGCTTGCTTGCTTGCGTGCTTACGACCGTGCACATCTTTCGGTCGTGTTTTAACCCACTTCCCGTGATCCAATCGAGCTGACATTTTGCACACAGACTCGTTGTGCGAGACAATTTATTTTCGTGAAAATTTTTTCCCAAAATTTTACACTTTTTAGGAAAAAAATAATTATATTTAATTACCAATTGCTTAATGGTGGCAGGCAATCATCTGACCCATAGGTGGCAGCCATCTCAAGCCAGAGGACGAGAGGACTCTAGCCTCCACGCATATAAAGGATTTATAGTGAAAAACTTTGTTTTTACGGGTTAATTTTTTTAAAATACCGTTGCAGTTGA